GATGAGACTGAGAACTCTGTGACTGTCGCACTCTGAACGCATGCGATCCTTGAAGATAGGGACTATAACGGAGCGGCTTCACTCAATTAGAGCAGTTATCGGCTTCCAATTCCACTGAATCATGTAAGTTATTTAACTGGTTCCAAAATCTAAGGAAGGATTTTGTAAACAACGCCGACCGGTAAAAATGAAAAAAGAGAACACCAAAAACACTGTTGCAGACTCCATGGCAGTGGTGGCCGCTTTGCTGAGTAAGTTTAAATCCCACGGACGGCTCATCACCGTAGTTATCAATAGGATTCCCTCTAGGCTGCAGATTGACATGGGCTAACATAACCATGGTCTCCAAGGACACATCAAGAAACCGGAGGCTGTAAGTTCCGCTAAGATGGCTTACAATGCCTCTGGCAAAGCGCTGAATCTAGCTAGAGGAATCAACTGCAGAAACAAGTAATAGAGTAGGAAAGCTTAGAATAGGTTACCTGACGACCTTCTCGGAATCGAATGGATATAAAATCAAGGACACTGAGATGTTTCACCGAACCAGATCAGTAATCGAATCTGAGCAAATCCAGATCCCTCATAATATTCAGTCGAAGACATGATATGGTCACTGAAGAAATGTGCCTGTGTTTCCGGATGGCCTAGGTCGATGCACCTAATTTACGGCAATGCTGTGCCGGCGTCCAGGATACAAACCAGTTTCCAAGATTAAAGGACTGGTATTGTATGTAGCCGGGTCAACAGCTGATCAAGAACTCGATCGACTAGAGCCAGCCTGCATCATCCCACTTGGGAAGTACTTCTCATGAGTCGCATCCATCGTTGCGGTGAAAAAAGTAAACAGTAAGTTACGCGTCTATGCCGATTTCTCAAAGGATGTGAACGCTGTACTTGACGACGATCAGCACTCATTACCAGTACGGAAAGGCACCTTCGCAAAGACGGGTCCGTCCGCCCTCCAGGTAAATGTCGCCGAAGACTCGAGAGAACTACCGACGATCAACACTCATTGTGGGCTGTTCTTTTCGAAAACGCCACCGGTCATTTTTCAAGATAATGGATACCACGCTCACGGCAGGTATGGTATTAGCACTACACTGGCACACAATACCAGTGCTTCGCTGTCACGCAAGTACCAACAGTTGCGCGAGGGCTGGGTATATCGCAAGGCCCCTGGCACTGGCGAACTCAAAGCCTTGGCCTCCGGATTACAAGATAAGCGTACAATCCTCTTATCCACCGGTCAACGCCGCATATCTGCATGAAATCATCGTAATGGTCCCAACGGCAGAAGTTATTTAACCCGAGGAATGAAGTGGTTGTATCCAGTTGCAGGATTTCCTGATACATGAAAACAAAGGCACGGATTTATCCGTGAAAAAAGATGGTCGTCGACCAGCTCCAGCGAACATAGAGGCCATAAAGGCCTCCACAAACAAATCTGTAATCATTTCGTTCCTTTTGTGGTCTCATCAGTCACTACAGTGCATTTATATCTGAGATGCATCGCCCGCGTGCTCCACTGAACAAGCTTCAGACCAAAACGCACACCAAGAACTGGATGCAAGAAAGCCAGAAAGCCTTCGAACGAGTCAAAACTTTGTTGGCCCCAAATGTGTTGCTAACTCATTTCAAACCAACTTGAGGAATCGTTCACACAACAGACGCAGCAAGTCATGAGATAGATGCAGTAATCTAACCCATACGAATCCAAAAACGACCTCTGACGCAGCCAGTCGAAAAAAACGATAGCCAGATCTAAAAAGATGCATTAGTCATAACTTTTTACAACAAAAAATTCAAAGCCATGCCAAACGGCCGGCGGTTTAAACTCTTGACGGAGCACAAACCATTGATGAACATTTTCCAAACGAAAGGTATTCTTACATTACAGCCAACCGCTTCCAACGCTGGGTACTCACTAGGTTGGGCAATGATCACGAGATGTGCTAACAATCGACAAATTACACTGGCAAGTAGGAGACACCGTCAGCAGAGTTTAAACCTGACGTGAGTGACGCATTGTATGGCCTACCAGTTACAAAAGGAGTGCGCGAAAAAGCACTTCGTGCCTCAAGAAGGTAACACAAATCCCCAGAACAATTCGGTCACTTTCATCAGTTGAATTACAGCAGCATTACCGAAAGAGACACATAATCCCCATTGAAAACGACTGCATACTGTCTGCGGAAAGTTATCATCGCTAAGACCATGTAAGAGCTTGAACTTCAGACACTTCATGCTGGACATTCTGGAATCAACCGGGTGAAGACGTTTGTCAGCAGCTTTCATAGGCAAACAGCTGGAAGAACTAGCGAAACGCTGTCAAGAATGTGCCAACATTTAAAAAGCGCCTTAGGAAGTGGAACTCCATGCATGGGTAAAATCCACTAAACTATGAGGCCGCATCCATGTCGACTTCACGGCTGAGGTTTCCTAATCCTAGTCGACTACTACGGGAAATGGTCTGAAGTGTTTCTAATGGGTAGTGCCACAACCAATGCCACAATGTCAAGACTGCGACAAATCTTCAACGGATTTGGCTGTCCAGAAACATATGTAAAGGATAGACATGCGGTTCACTTCGGCAAGCTCCACGGAGTTCTGAAAGCAGCGCACCATCTGACGCATTCATTGCCGCTGTTTCACCCACAAGCAAATGGACAGACAGAAAGGTTCATAGACGGGTGTAAGCAAGCTCTCCTCAAATGAAAATAAAAGGCGAGTATATAGAAAATGATCGACATGTCACGTTTCCTCTTTATGTGCACATCAAAACCGCAGGCACAAGACGGAGCGCCCACATAAGAAGCCATGGTGAACAGGAGACCACGCGTGCCATTCGATGCCCATTGGGAGGATCCAGAATCCAAAGTGGTAAAAGAGCCTGAAAATGGAGCAAAAATTCAATGCGCTTTGCGGAGCAAAGCTACGCTTATTCAAACCCGGAGATATCGTACTCACTCATGGCTGCTGCGGCATGGACTCTAAGTGGGATCAAATGCAGAAGTGATTAGTGATGTGCTCATCGGATCGTAAAACTGGATCCGCCATGCAGGTCAGCGGCGTGCAGCGCTGTGCCGGCCTGAAACGAGGAAACCAGTTGACTTACCATTGTGCATCCTAACACATGAATTCAACGTACCGAATATATATATATATATATATATATATATATATATATATATATATATATATATAATCTGTAGTATAGATATTGTGCCATCGGAAGCATAGTGGAATAGGAAAACAGTATGAATAAGGAAAAAACAAGAGCAATTGTTGCCCAGTTTACCACTCTGTTTTTGATATTTTTCAGTTTATCTTTTTAAGGGAAGCAAGAGGGGTCAATGCAACACACCGATGCACATGTCCGCCACTGACGTCGATGTTGAGCTATGGTTTCCAAGGTCTTCAACCAGCAAGTTACCGCATCTCTCGGACCCCAACCAGGCAGTCAACAACAATTGGGCGAGGCCATCTGTTTCACCAGCTTTTGCATGCGGCTTATCCACCACCAGACCGCCTCATCCAACCCTCTCCAGCAATCGCAAAAAATGCACGAGGCGAGTAACGCTGAACAGGCATGCCCAGTACGTGACCGAGCTACCTCAGTTGGTGCAGTGAGACGAATTCCTCGAGCGAGTGGTTTCCTTGTCCCAAGACACGCTGTCTAACTTTCACATTACTTACGTGATGCCGCCACAACACAGAGGCAATGGATCGCAGACAGCGGTGCTGGAAAACAGATAATCTGCGGATGTCAACGGTACGAATGCGCCGAGCGATGCAACGGTCGATTCACAGCTACCCGAGGAAAATCTCCGGGGAAAAACTAATCATCTTAATGAGAACATGGCTTGAGTCACTGGTGTAGAGCGGAGGCATCAAGTCGTCCCAGGAAGGTTCGTGCCAACATTCATGTCCCATTTGTACAGCAGAGCCCAACTACCAAGCAGCGTAACTAACCTTAGGTTTACCTATAAAGATTCACTAATTTTTACACTTGCTTGTCTAACAACACTGCGACGTGGCGGACGTGACCCGGCCACTAACCCTTGTTTATGCGGATGATCACATTAACTTCACGGAATTCACTCATCCAAGTTGAAGCTTTCCTTGGATCCCTTATTGCCCTGACGACCAGGCAAAATTCTAATAAAACAACTGCATAGATACGTACACACGCATACACACACCTAATGTTACCAGCCAAGTAGTGACATGTTTGTATGTTCCAAATATTCGTGGGCGTCTTACCGTAACCTTAAGGATCACAAGCCTGCCTTGTAATCCCAGGGAACGTGTTCGAGCTTGCGTAAGGTACCGGGTGACCCTCGCAGTATCCTTAGCTCACATGCGACCGTTGTTGGTTGAGCGGTAGCGAGGCGTCGTTACTGCGTACTGGAGTTCTGCTGATGTCTAGGCGGGCGGGCTGTGCATTGCTGAGAATAAAATATTTAGCTGTGTATTTGTTTATCATCTCGAATTAGTACAAACGAAATGTTGGTTAAAATTTTTCATGTCGTACAAAAAGGTACCAGTAGTACACAGGAGTCTAGATGTGCTGTTGTCATGTGAATCCAAGTATCCGAACGCTAATTTGGATACTGCATGGAGTGTGTTTATACCCAGGGAACCACGGGGACTAGGACTAGGGGTTCAATTATGCTAATCCAAACGCATACATTGCACAACAAGCGCCGTCGAGTTAGTCTTCGTGCAAGACTACAAATGCAGTAGTAAAGTTACTGCTAATCGCATGGGTGAGGGAAAACGGTCCAATACTACGAAACAAATGCCTCTGTAGATTGTACAACTGAGAGCAATCGGTGATAGTTAAGCGTAGACTTAAGAAAGAACACGGAATAAAGGTGTCACTATGCTCGAAACGCTATCAAAAAACTGTGAACTCGACAAAGTAAACTCGCTTTGCCAGATGATAGACCAGTGTGGAAAGCTAAGGGAGAAATACAGGTATACTAGCAAATACTGACCTTTCGGAAACACGCAGAAGTAAATATTATCGAGCCAGTCACTGTCAAATGGTGGGTGTATCCGATCACCAACAAGACGAAGACCACGAAAACAGTTTGAGTCACTGGCCAAATACTTAAGACCAGTACACTTCGGAAATTGCGCAGTCAGCGTAGTAAGAAGCAGTGTCCCATCAGCCTCCAAGGGAACCTCCACCGTCTCAGATCCTACCCCCTCGCAAACCTTGATGAAGCCAGTGATAGCCATAGATCAGGTAAATGTTACGATAGCGGCGAGGATGAATGGCGCAACTAGGGTGTGTAGTGTGCAGAGCTCCAAAAAGTGGTCGTACAATTCCGGTGGCTAAAACAAAAGAGAATGCGTCATCCCCATTTTACATGTTAGCTAAGGAGTGAGAAACAGCCCAGCCATTGTGTCGTAATACAATTCAACCGTATAATTGCAAAAAGTGTGCAAGAGAAAAATTGAAAGCAAAATATTGTTTGTTTTATAGTAAGCATTGATGTCGAGAATGGCGCGGGATAAAGGAACTCACGACACAAATCGACCTAAGGTCGGTTCTCCTCCATGTCAACAACGATATCCATACGAATGCGACCATCGTCGTCTAGACACGAACAAAGAAGTCGAGAGGCCCCAACAGAGGCCAGACACCCATCAGACAAGGCAAAGTCAGTAGCATTCTAACACTACATTTCTTGCATCTAGCTGTTAACCTTCATTCCATCTCGAGTAGCTTTGCGCCTTTCTGTCCTTTCTGTCTGCATTTTCTCTGTCATCATCATCATCATCAACAGCAGTACATCAGCCATTTCAACTGATGCTTCGCTGCCATACAACCATGATGACCTATGGAATAAAGAATAATAAAAGAGAGAGAAGGGGGACTTACCTGAAAACCTTAATGCCCTAAGCAAACATTCAGGGTCAAGGTGCCTACACCTTGTGTAGACAACATACTGTCACAAACAGCTGGCTATCGTGCGAAGATAAGGCGACAACGGCGAGACAGCTTCCTTGCGGATCTCACTGCTCCGCGTTATAATCAGTCATTACCCCGCAGATAACTCAGCACCAAATACACTTTAATCAGGCAATCCCACTAAAAGACTGTAGCAAACGCGTCACTGATGTCGGTTACGAGCCATGTCCTGTAAAATCTCGAGTCAAGCACAAGGCGAGTCACGTGGACTCCAACCCGGAAGGCGAGACGGATCAACAGCACCCAGTTTGGTTGTCAGTGACTTCATTTCCCGCTGCCAAGTCAACTTCTGTCCACCTCGAGCATTGCGCCACCCTACACCTGGCAGACTAAACAAGGCCCTCCTAGATAAGCGGTGACCAGGCACACGTAGCACGCGCCCGAGCCAACACAACTTATTCAGTGCTACCTGTTGTTCCAGGGAGCTAGCATGATTATCACCACCTAGTACTCGCCTACGCACATCATGGTTGCAGACACGCTGGTGCCATCCGACACCAGCAATGCTTCGCAGACAACGATGATCAAAGATTTGAACGCGCCTCAGATCTTTAGACCGAAGGGGCCAAGTCTCACTACCATAGAGCATGATGGCTCTCACTGTATCCACGGCTTTCAGACTGAGGGAAACTCCCTTCAGTCTCCAAAGATGCCGCGCGCTCAAGAAGGCAGTTCTGGCTTTGCCAATGCGTGAACTGACTTCAGTTTCTATGCGCCCATCGTTGCTGACGCAGCTGCCAAGATAAGTGAATTGATCAACCACCTCGAGTTCCACGTTAGTAAGGGTCAAGGGGTCATAAAGTGGCTGGTGGTCCTGTAGCACCAATTTGCACTTCGAAGGTGCGAGGCGCATACCAAATAATGGGACCACCCTAGACAGGCTAGTTAGGATTGAGTGTGCCGCCGCAACATCGTCGAAAAGCAAAAGGATATCGTCCGCATAATCAAGACCAACAAATCTATCACCAGACAGCACTTTAACGCCTACACTGAATTGCGCAAAAGAACACTCTATGATAGAATCCATGATGAAATTGAACAAAAGCGGGAAAATGGTACAACTATGACGAACGCCACCTGTGGTCGGAAAGATATTCGACAGGTTACGACTCTGACGTGGCCTGCACTGTTCGAGCATAGAGCATACAGAATGTTCACATATTTCGTGGGAACACCATTTCGGGCAAGTACTTCGAACAGAATGGATCCATCGACTGAATCGAACGCACTCTTGAGATCGAGGAACAGCTATTGTCGGTTTGCGGTATGGGGATGGGCGCTGCTCTAGCGCCTGCCGCAGAGTAATTACAAGGTCCATAAGGCCATGTACTGGGCGAAAACCAGCCTGCTCATCAGTTGTTGCGGTGTTCTCCAAGCTGGGCAACTTGGTTGCAAACGTTTCGCCACTATTCGGAGTGGCACTTTCAGTGCAGGATTGATAGCAGTCAGGTAGCAGGAGCTGGAAGAAAACAAACCCAAGGATGGATACTGTTGATAACCACACCGTTCCTGCCTATTCTTCACTAATCCGAGGTTGCCGATGCACTTTGAGGCGACGAAGGAGAATCAATGCCAGTAATTGTGTCACAACTGGCGTTAGACCAATAACCCTGTAGTTAGCACAGTCGGTGCGACTGCCCTTCTTGTATATTGCCACTATAATCGATTCGCTCCAGTTGGCCAGGAGACTTCCTTCTAGACACGTTCGAATAGGGAGGTCAGTGCTTTGCAGAAAACCTCATCACCATCCTTAAATAATGCAGGTGGGAGGAAATCCGGGTCAGCGTTACGAAAACGACTGAGGGTTTCATTTCGTTTCGGACCTCGGCCTCTGACGGAGGCTCTAAACTAACCGTCCATGGCTCGTCCTGCATCGTCTGAGTAGGAAGAGGTCGGAGAGCAGGGGGCTAGCTGAACTGACCTTGAAAGTATTCGCCCAACCAGCCATACGGCGCTCCTTATTGTGTATCAGCGCACCCACGCTGTCTCTGATTGTCTCACTGACGCCTGGTTTCCTGGGATCAGTGGTGCGGATCAGCTAGAAAAGCTTCCGGTAATGGCTTACTGCTCCTGCCTCCTCCATTTCTTGAGCCCGACTGGTCCACCAGGCTTTTTGTCAACACGCAGGCTCCGCTTTAGTTCGCGCCTAATAGCTCGTCTGGTCACATTGTGTTCAGAACCAGCCGGGAGGTGTCTTCTAGTTTCCAACAGGTTTACGGACCTCTCGGATATCCAGTGACTGGTGCGGTGACGACTGATAGTGCCACAAGCAGGTGCTCCTGCGTCGTGCATGGCGGCCGAGATCCTATTCCACTGAAGCTCAGTGTCATTAGGACAAGACAGCGAGAGTTCCGTATGCAGTGTTTCTTGATAGGCTTGCCTGACCGAGGACTGGG